ACACACACACACTGGATGATTAGCAGAAAACCCTCTTAACTTTTAAAATATCTGAAAAAACCCTGTTAAGTATACATATATAGCGCACGCACAACACACGCACTGGATGATTAGCAGAAAACCCCCTTAACTTTTAAAATATCAGAAAAACCCCTAGTATAGGGATTATCCCGAAACCCCCGTTTAACTTTCAGATTTTGTAATTAGGGGGGTTTTATGATAAAATATCAAAGTTAAAGGAGGTTTTCTAATAACCTCTAAACTTAAGGGGGGTTATCTGTTATTTTGAAAGTTAAGGGGAGTTTTCTGATAGTCGTCCATAATTAAGGGGTTTTTTAATGATATTTAGCCTTTTTTAACTTTCACTTGCAATACTTATGGTATTAATATCTCATTTTACGTCAAAATTGTGTTGTTTTATGTAGGAAAAATAACCAGATTGGTTTTTTTATGTACAAAACATAACCATTTTGGTATTAATTTTGATATTCGTGCCATAATATCGCCGGTGAAAGAAAAAACTCATATTGTAATCAGTATCATATTAAAAATGCCAATTTGGTAATTTTGCCTTTATAATGTGTGATATGGAGCTTCTGTCCTTCACTAACGTCAGTAGCGTGCAATGAGAGTAGTTTTCGTTGTGAAAATTTCCTTATATATGATATTGAATTCTGCCGAGACTTAGAAAAAGGTGTGTTCTTGATTACCTGAGATATAAAGCTTATCCATTTTTGTGTTGACATTTAGAAAAAAAAAAATTATTTCTGCAGGAGGCTGCATTGAACCTTGGAGTCCTTACCGCTGAAGAATTTGAGGAGCTTGTGGTTCCAGAGAAAATGATTGGTCCATCTGACTAATAACTCAATTGGGAAATATATGGAAATTTTGTTGAAAAAAATAAATAAAGGATGGCTAGTTTGCACTTTTAAACTCAGCTGAATTCAAGGTCTTGGCTGAGCATGAGGCGTGCTAATAATGAAGCCTCCATTTTGTTTTGATTTGTAACTATCATTTAATCATTTATCTAAACTATTTTTGGCCCTGTAGAGGCTACTGTATTTTGACGCTGTTCTATAAGAGGCAAGTTGGCGTTCCAACGGCGAGTCTATTTTGACTAGGAAATTTTATTATTCCATGGAGGGTGTCATGCTCGAAATTTTCTCTTATATTAGCAAAGTCATCATTGTTGTCGAAGCGTGAGTCTTTCTAGGAGGGTACTTTGTCTCCACATTGAATCTTTTATTCATCGTATTGCTGCTTAGCTTAGTAAAATTTCAGTTGCCGCTTAAAAAAAATAATTGTGTAATTAATAATTACTTGTTTTAGGTTTTCATTTCAGTACTCATAAATGCAAATCATTGTAAGCTTTATCCCTGTTAATGTCTTGATTACACATTCCCACAACATTTAAGTAGCTTAACCCCCTCGCCCCCTCCATCCGGCGCAGTGAGTCCCTCCCCCTTAATAAGAACAAATTTTCGAAACAGTCCTATTTGGACTTTTATTTGCAAAAAACGACCCGTTTCGAAGTTATTTTTAAAAACCGACCTGGTTTTAGTCGTTGTTGAAACCAGGTCGGTGTCTTACGAAACTTCACGGGAGTTGAACTCTCATGAAGTTTAGCATATTTTTAAACTTCACGGGAGTTCAACTGAACTCCCGTGAAGATTAATTTTTTTAAAAATCTTCACGGGAGTTGAACTCATGTGAAGATTTATTCAGAGAAAACACTTCACGGGAGTTAAACTCCCGTGAAGTCTGTTAGAGTATTAAAATCTCCACGGGGGTTCAACTCCCGTGGAGTTACATGCCAAATTTCCCAGAGAATCGCTCTCTGGGAAATTTAGACTGCAACTTCACGGGAGCTGAACTCCCGTGAAGCTGCAGGTTTTACAAAACATGCACAGGCTGCTGTGCTGTGCATGTTTTGTATATATCAACATGTTTAACTCATATATATAATTATTTACCTGTTAACAACAATTACTACAATATATATATGATTTAAACACACACGAATCAAACAATACTAAAAAAGAGTACATATATGAACAATAATTGATCCACAAAAGTATAGTATTTGAAAATTCATAAAAGTTATAAATTTTAACAAAATAAGTTCAAATACAACCTAATATAGCTCCTCTCCTTTCTCTCCCTCTCTTCCCCCTCCCCCTCGCTCTTCCCCGCCCCCTGTGGTCCTGCTGATGAGCCTCGACTATCTGAGTATCCGGCTGTGTATGAGGCTGAGAAGTGTCGGCTCCATCAGCATGCGAAGTGCCGGCTCCATCGGCATGCGAAGTGTCGGCGTCATCGTCACATGGCCGTTGGCGCCGAGTTTACGCCTGTCCAAATGATCGAGACCTGTCATCACGGTCTGCGAACTCGTCGACGTGAGTTTTATGAAACACATGCGCTATGGTCTTCTTGATCCTGCTGAAGACCCCTAACGCCACCTGATCCTGAATCTCAGGCACGTGCGCATCAATATCAGCCTTAATGCTATCAAAAGCACAGACCAGTGAGGTAAACAATTTATTAAGTACCAACTCAATAAAAAAATGTTAAAATTTAGCTTAGAAACTTACGTAATCTCTCTCGTTCATCCTACTAGGGATGTAACTGTCTGTCGGTGGGCGTGGCGTGTGTCCAGCTGATGGCGGTGGGTCACGCGTGATCCATCTACGTGTGATATCCCAATACCAACGCATATACGCGGTATAGTCAACAACTATGGGCCTCGTATCCTGGATAAAATCCTACATGTGAGCCCACCTGTCTATGTAGGCCGCACGGACTACGGCCCAGTCGGTACGGTGCGAAGTGGATCGCCGCCGACGATCGATCTGCCCGACAGGATCTGACACATGCCGAGAGAGCGTAAACTGCCGTAGCACACGGTCAGGACATGCATCTCCACGATCTCCCAACAAATCAATGGAACTCTGGCTCTCCACAAGTCGGGAGTATCTCGGCAGATGGGTGCAAGAGAATGCATATCAAGCTCCGGCGATGTATAGGGTCTCCACTTGAACTGAAATAAAATAAAACATTTATCAGTATCAACAACAAAACTATAATATTCATAACGACCTGAGATTTATATTTACATGTTTGTGTTGGAGGCCATCAAGCTCATTTCGGTAAAAATCACGATGGCGCGTCGCTGATCGGTACTTAGCGTACAACACATTATACCTATATGCAGAATAGAGAATTTATAAGTACAAATTCGGTACGAATAAAATTTGTGTGTACAATTATACCTGTATGTCAAAGGAAACTGATCATGTAGGTCACGATGCACAAGTAATGTAGGCTGTCCAATATGAATGCGCTCCCAAGATCAAATCTGTATCAATGTGCAGCATCTAGTGAATTCTTTATTCTGCATCAGGGATACTCTACCCAGTTCCCGATACAAGTATGCCAACACCGCACTGCCCCACGATAGTGCGCCGCATACGTCAAAATCCTCCAACAGTGGCAGCTATCGTGCATGTACAAGAGTCTTGCTCGCATCAGGAAAAAGCACACACCCTATCATGTGTAATATGTACGCACGAGCATGAAACTAAAGCGTCTCCATACTGGCATCCTCTGGTATGTCCCCCTGAAATGTCTGACGAAGCCACGATAGCTTCATCGCACCACTCCTCAAGTCGAAAACCAGGTCAAGAAGCCTAGCACATACCTCAGGCCAACTATGATCATCGGTGCCCGTAACTATCGGTCCATCGATCTGGAGCCCAAGTATGATAGCCACGTCCTGTAAGGTGATGGTGCACTCCCCTATATGCATATGAAAGGTGTTGGTCTCTGGCCTCCATCTCTCAATCAGTTTAGTGATAAGCGGTCAATCAAGCCTAATATATCGCACTGTCGAACACTCCTGGAACCCGGCTTGAGCAATAAGCTGTAGTACTCTCTCATCCTCAATGACCCAAGCCGAATGACTCTGGGAATGTTCTATCATGGTGATGTCTGGTACGTGCTGCACGTCAAAAAGAATTGATTAAGTATATTGAGAAAATTTTAAATTAGTGTCAATACTAAGGAATATATACAAAAGATGTTTTACCTGTCCTGAGCCAATATTGTGTGACGCCCCAGGTTTCATGCAAGGCTGCAGTCCAAGGCGAAATCCAGAATGTCAAACATACCAAGCACCAAACACCATACTACGACATGTTTCACCATCACAGTCACTATCTCTCTAGTGAAAACAACAAATAGGTGAAAGTACTGACAAGCAAATAATAGAGATAGAACAAACCAGGTGTACACAGAAGCAATAAGAGAATAATCATCAGTGAGCCCAACCAGGTGTACACAGAAGCAATAAGAGAATAATCATCAGTGAGCCCAACTAAAATAGAATAGAAATATCTCTGAGTCTGAAATAAACCTCAAGTACAAACTAAAATAGAATAGAAATATCTCTGAGTCTGAAATAAACCTCAAGTACAATGAGTCAAATAAAGTATTACTATGGCTTTCAGCCTCTACAAAATGAGATACAAGTCTAGAGTCTGAACATAAACAACTAATTATGGAAATCTGTAATAACTACTAAAATAATAAATAGCTAGATGGAATCTATGAAGAAATCCCATCAACCTGCGATTCTCCGTGCGCCGGACTCGCTGCCTGAAAGGAGGGAAAACAACGAGCGTCAAACCGCTATAGCGAGATCATCTCCACCTCTCCCCAAGGGAAGGGGTAGGAGTGTATAGAAAATAGAGTCAGTACATATAAGCATGAAATCATTCATATAACTCTAACTGAAGGTTAATATTTAGGAATCCACAACACGAGAGTTAGTACGTCGAGCGAAATAATCCAAATAAGGAAACCCTCATGTATATACCATGTCTCAAATTGTAACTCCCTAAATACCAACTTCAAACTCTATGAATGAAAAACGGCAAACAAAAGGAAATATTCCAAACCTCAAACATGTAGAATAAATATCTCATCTCAAAACTACACTCGAGTAGATGGCTCTAATGTAAGGGGGATTTCATCCAAAACAAAAGTTAACCATAACTCATATCATGTAAGCCATGATCTCAAAGAAGGTACCCTACTCGCGGGAATCCAATATGGAAGCAAAACTACAACTGATAATACTTACATGTGTGCATCTCCTCGTGCAAATAGCGATACTCTTGTAATATTTTTACTCAATCGCTCTGCGGCAATATGTTTTATCGCCCTATTCCGGATACATGAAATGATGATACTTTTGTAATACTCTTACTCAATCATCCTGCGGAAAAAGGTTTTATCTACCTATTCCGGATACATGAAATAACGATACTTTTATAATACTCTTACTCAATCGTCCTGCGAAAATAGGTTTTATCTTCCTATTCTGGATACATGAGTTTACTATACTCTTCATATTTATTTATCAAATTAAATTATGACAAAAAGTATGTTAACACAACATATTCTAAACATACGTGCACATATCTCGGTGTGCGTGTCCACATATGGTATTCACTACATCTCAGGTGTTAAACAACTCATAATCATTGTATCATAACAGTACAAGGTCGAGAGACTCGCTCGAAAACTCAAACAGTCGAACAAAACATCCACAGGACCAAAGACTCAGTGGCGGTCGACCGTGATTTTGCGGCGGTTGACCGTGATGGGTTTCAGGGCCTACCCAGGCCTCTATCCTGCACGCGGTTGACCGCCACTAAGGCGCGGTCGACCGTGGGCAGAGTTTCCAGAATCTTATACTGATTATGTATGTTATGTTCATGCCGTGTTTATGTGATCCAAACATGATTAAAACAACATAATACTTGCATGAAAGTATGTCTACAGCAGATAAAAACTTCTGGAAGCAATCTCAACAGATATAGCATGATTATTTTTGCATTAACTTGATATACAAAACCCTAAATCATGTATAAAAACTCAAAACGAAGAACAAATCATATTTCTTCAGATTAAACAACGTTTTAAATCATTTTTAGATCTTAAATATTTCTGTAAATTCATTCTCAAACTTTTTAACATGGAAAGACCTAGTCTTTATATATATAATGCAAAAGAATTAACTTTTATTCATAAAGTAGTC